GGCCTGTGTGCAGCACATTCAGCTGGAGGACATCATAAACGAGAGATTCAATTGAGTCTCGCGTGAAAACCAAATTGATTTGCAAATGAATGTATTTCTCGAAAATCTGCTCCACTTTTCTCTGTTCAGACAATTTTGGTGATGACATACTGGTGTATTGCCGAGAAACATAAATGACAAGGACTAAAAAAAAACTGAGTAATTCCGCTTGATTGTGCAACGTGGCCGTTTCCGTTCTCACGTCATCGAGAGCGTGGGACGGTGGTAGTAGGTTGACGGTATTGGGCGAGGCGGTGCACTTCAATGTATCAAGTGAGTATTTTCACCCATCTGGGCCATATACATTGAGTTGGCGACGACTAACGGAAAGATAATCCCACTCAACTGAAATGTAACCCTAAAAGTTACTCCGCTGATCCTAGTCACATGCCCCGCTGAACACGTCAATCGCTCCTAGGAACAACATATTAACGGATGGTCACACGGATTGGAACGTTGCAAGCACGTCATGGATAAAAAGCCAGGCGACATCAAGTCGTCCTGATGACCAAAGTGAACCACCTAGCCATGTGACAATTAGATGTCCACGACTAATATCTGAAACACAGGAAGGTCGCTGTAAACTGCGTGAGGGACTCTAAAAGACTGCAGGCAGTGCTAAATACGCTGAAGTGGTGCAAAAACGAAGCTTCTCCGTTTGGGATTGCTACGCAGTGAGATCGATAGTTTTGTATGGATATATGACGCAAACCCAGCGTCTATAGTACTTCAAGTGTCAGTTCCAGGGCAGCCGGATCACACGGACTGCAGTTGCACGGGATATTGTATTGAGGTATTGAGGTTCAGACGGTACCTCATGACCTGCCGGACGTACAATCGTTCTTATTGTGTCCAAAATGACTAGCAGCAGAAGATGAACCCACGGATTCAGCAGTAAATTCATCCAGTCTCGGGAGATATTCAGTATAAACATGAAAGGCGTGAGTGTTATTCTTACCCAGAACCACCTGGTGTACAGTATTATGGGACTGAAGCCACTATTGCCCCGGGCAGTTTATCGAACACTATAAAACATCAGAAACTTCCAAATGCAGGATGAAAACACAACACGTAACCATCCGTACTGATAATCTGTGGTAGGTCCTGTCACTTCAGATTCGACGTAGAGATTAAGATCAAGATCCCATCTTGCACTTTGCCCATAATTCAGCAGCTGTGATTTTCTTCTGAAACTAGGGAATGAATCTTGGTTTTACACATGGATATGTTTTGTTGCACACAAACCTGCGAATCATCTCTGTGGAGTTCACTCCCCTCAAGCGACAGTTTTCGACGGGTCCTATCAGCGGTTACTGAGAAGGGGTTATGTTGTGCATTCGAAAACGAATTAAAACAAAAAGCCCTGCCGTTTTTTTGACACGGAGCTACAGGCTTGAGGGATAGTGCCGGGTAGCTACTCGAGTGGGTGCTTGCATCTGAACTGCTACCCAATCTTGAGTTCGTACTGCACCGTTATATATTTGATGTACATTTAACACCATGAGTGCGTCCTAACCCGACAACTGGTTCGTATTTCACCAATCTGTTGGGACTCAGATTGTCATCCGGTCAATGAACTTGTCTGTTAAACTGACTTGGTCCGTATCAAACATGAGAGAGAGACATTGTGGTGAGAGTCGCACGGCGCATGATGTGGTTGATGTAGGTAAGGTTGTTTAGAATTGCATTTGTTCTGGAGGGCCATTCGCTGTCAGCGCGAATAAGGTTGCTGCTTAGGGTTTTCATACTTCGACGTCTTGTCATGACTTCAAAACCGATAGATTGTCTGGGCTTGGTGCATGTTCAGATGAAATTGGCTCTTCGAGGTAGCCAGTGTGGCAATGACAGCAGAAAGACCACTGACATCGATTATCAGCCATACCTTGCAGCGTCCCCAACCAGGCACAGTGGGCATCACGTGGACCCCGTTCTAGACAGTAAAACGGACAGCATAGTAAGGTTTAGTACCTGAAGACGAACGAAACGCCTGAATAACTCGCTCCGGTTAGCGATGAAAGACAGGCTCGTTTGAAACAGAATTTTGTAGAAAATGACAGAATCTACTGCGGCATCAGGGTAGACATCTTTGCCTGCAACTTGTTAATAGGTATCGTCCCGCACAGACTCGCCAGCACTCGGGAAAATCAAGCGCGGCCCCGTCAAAGACGCACACATACTGACCGAGTCTTTGATCAGCAGCAATTCGTAGGGCACCATCACAATTAACTTTTAATGAGTGTCGTTTTCTTATATATCAGAGTAGCGCTGAACTCAATCGATCCCGCTGCTTTGTTGTGATACTTGTCTTTTGAATGTGTTCGTAATATGGTGTTGAAAATTATCTGGTCCTGAGATTCCGACACACGCAGGCGCACAAAACCCAATGGAGAGTGTTTCTCCGAGTCCAGCACCTAAGATAAAGTGTGCTTAAATACCTATTTTCATTCAGATTTGTGAAAAATTTAATTAGCGATCCTCACCAACGGCAGTGCATCAGTAGTGAATACTGGTGTTTAACGATCGTATGCCCGAGGCAAGAACGCCCAAGTAATGAGTGGGAATAAATAGTGGTAAATTGCGTCAAGTGATAGGTACACAAGAAAAACGAATGGAAATAAGGGATGTTCACTGTACGAGAGTATGAAGACACAAGGGCACTTTGCCAACGAAGCATCATTAGTGGAATTGAGCGTTGTTTAGCCAGACAGACCAGACATGAAGTGAGAGCACGCTCGTTAGTGAGATCGGTTAAGTGCCACCCACAAAAAGAATCACCTGACCCCAACCTAGAAGCGCAAAGATACCAGAGAACTCCGAGTGATCGCTTTCATTTCTGGATACTGTGCCATGGTCTCTCTCAGTTAATACTTAGGACGCAAAGCAGTTTTCTTTGGGGAATACTGGTTGGTTACGTCTATCCTACTGCCCTTGGAGTCAAACCTTCGGGACCTTGTTGGTTTGAATTTTATGCAGATAAAACCTAGATGATGCGCTTGGGTGATGAGACGTCCCTTTGACACTGACGTGCAAAGCTGAGAGGCACATCACTAAGCTTCAGTATAACATAAGGAAGCTGAAAATGGAAGAATTTATCTGTCTAGATAGGATCATTCGGATCAGGATGAAGTATCACTTAAAGGGGCAGCATCGCTGATGGCGTGGGCGCCATAAACATCTAGGGATGAGATCGACACCCCTATACAGCGCTACCCGCTGTGTCGATCAGTCGCAATGAAACAGTGATCAGATACACCGGCTTCTAGTCCAAGTGGCCAAAGGTAATCAATATTGTTTCATCTTTCTCACTCACTGGACAAAATTCACATTAACACTCCACTTACTAAACATAGTCGTTAGAATCCTAATTGTACTTACAGAACGCTGGGGCTGCTGTGACATCCCATTTGACTCGTGGTTGCACACACATATAAGCAAGCTGAACAGACTGGCGACTATTGCGCCAGAACCACAGGTTTGACTCAGTGTAAAAAGATCGTCCAGCTGTAGCACACTTTCGGTGCCTAACTCCCATGCCAACAGGAAGCAAGACAGCCAGGATACTGACAGGTTGACCAAGCCTAGACAGGGGAAGTCGAGAGGCAGAGGTTGGATTCTAACCACGGACCTTCCGTTCAGAAAATATGCGCTCTAACCAATGAGCCATGTTGCCCCCAATGTGGATGTGTGGGGATACATCAACCTGAAAATACTGATTGTGGGAGCTGGTGCATTCTCGAGAAAAGTGGTACGATAAACTATGACGTCACTGTGTGCGACAATGACTTGACAAGACAAGGAACGCAGCGGCCGCCACTAACAAACGTCGCTCGATCATCATTTTGTAAAGCGAGTAGCACTATAGCTTTAGTGAAGCTGACAACTGCTGAACTACTCTATGAGATTAGGATTCGATCCCAAAAGAGCTCACGACACAGTGCTCACCGCTTCCAGTCGGTCATCGTTGCATGACTAAGCCAATGCAGTCACTGAGTGAAGTGCAACACAAAACAGACCACCACAGTGTACATTGCTACCATTAGTGGGTCTCGTGGATATATGTACAAGAAAACGATGATAACATCTCGCCAATGATATCGAAAAGAGGTCCAAAACTCACTCCAAAGTAACTGATGTCTCGTTCCGTTTGCTACACTCCATCATCCAGTGGTGCACATTACCGGGTAATGGTGCATTCTCTTTCGTTAAACTCAGGGTGCGACTGACGAATCCCAAAGATGTGTTAGTTGTCGTCAGATCTAGAGCACCAGATTGCGGACAAACTAGCGGTCGTCGCAGAGAAGAGGTTCGGGCCACATCTAGATTTGTGCACTGTTCGTAGTAAAGCTGAGCAGCTTTAGAGGAACGTATTAACTGACGCAGCTGCTGGACGTCCGTTCGCCTAACCCAGTTGGCATAGGAAGGGTTACGCAACACAACTCGCGAGAGCCAGAGGACCGCAGCCGCCTTGCGTGACTCACGTTTCAAACTGATTGCATGACTATGCATACCCGCGGCCAACAAAAAACGCGACATATACTGAACGTGGCTGCTATGTGCATCCAATACCTGAAAGAGAAGACAGGATCCTTTGTGTGAGGAGTCAGTGTAAGAAAGCGCCTATGGAAGTTAAAGTAAACACTTTGGACTGCAAACGGCCAGGTGAATACTGGATGATACTTGAATGAAACATCTTATGAATGTAGGTGTGTCGAGCTACGCTTTTTATTGATTGGAGAAAACGCCGTTAGCCGTATACATAATCATTACAGTGACGCTTGGTGTCGTTTGTGCGATGACAACAGACAACTGGGTTGGAATCCCTTCCCCCCTACCCGCGAGTGCCCCACCAACGCACACAGTAGTCGGAGTCAGGTCAGATGTCTCACAAGACACGCCTGGATGTGATTAACCAGTCGACCCTGTTGGCGCGTAAAGTAAGGAAGTCATTGCAAATCTTGTCGAAAGATCAGCTCACCAAACTAAGTTACCGGACCGGATTATCAGATTGGCCAAATTATATGTGAAAACGAGTAAGAATGAAAGGGTAGCCTACGTACAAACGCGTCGACAAATCAATGGAGCACAAAGTCGGTACACATTCATCAGGAAGCCACAATTGTGTTTACGTTAGTACCAATGTAACCACGACTGTAGCCTGTGTGGACTGAGTTCGAGATGGCTCAGTGGATAAGGTGTGTATTTATTGACCGGAATCCGTGATTAGAACCCGATACTGACTAATCCTGAAAAACTGGCATACCTTAGACCTCGTGCTTCCCCTGAGTGATACGGCAGCTGTGTGTGTGGATTTGTCCATCCACTAACGTCGGATAACTACGGTCATTTGCAACCCCATTAGACTGAAGGGAATCAAGTAGAAGATTCCACCAGACATGGTTAGACAAGTAAATATGAGTTAGCCGACCCGGTTAATCGATAAAAAAACACAAACACTGCTCAAAGATTGATGAAGCTAGGGTTAGTGAAAACAAATTATTGTTAAGAATGGAATTATCAAGTAGTGATCCAGGGGAATGTTAGTCAGATGGCGGTGGAGGCCAGTACGGGAGGTGAGCATTAGTGTATAGGTCGGGACATACGCCATGTTGGGTACAAAAATGCGGGAAGTAGTCCAGCATCGTGGCAGGTTGCTCGCACTCGGTATGGTGATGTGGTAACACAGTAAAGCTTTTTAACCATACACAGAATTTCCACAACCAGCTGCCCGATTTCTGGATGCGACTAACAGGATTTGGTAGAGAAAAAATAAAACCATCGATTCACGTGTCAAATCACCAGAGCTGAAGATCAAAATAGCATCTACCATGTACTTAGAATTAGGAAATAGTGTTACATCGCAACCTTGATTGGTGTTTTGGCGATTTCTAGTTGCAATACAGAAACACGAAAAATAACCTTGTTATTTCCATAAATGACAAGGCATCTACTGAAGACCCGATTGCTGGGTCTTTATGTATAACGTAGCACACGACATTTGGGCAATGCGATGTAGACGTAGAAACGAGAATCGTAAGCATTCAGGACTTAGCTAAGGGGTCATTGGTTGCTTACCCTGGCGAACCGTCGAAGAAACACGTAGGGATTCGGTCGATGGACAGCGAAATCAATTGCGGCCAAGAGCCTTCGCTCAGCGGTGATGAATTCTTCCCTACGATAGGCGCCATCCGTAATGTAGAGAAATTCCGTTAGCTGGGGCATTTTGCTCTCCTCATGTTTGCAAGCAATCATGATAGCCGCACACGCCATTAGCTGAATCTCAGACCTGGAGTGGTAAAGAAATTTTGTACTGTGTTAAAAGAGGGTGCGGATGAAATGAATAAATTGTGAGGAAAGGTACACAGCATATTTGTTAGTCAGCCATCAGTGTATCCTGTTTTCCGCGGTGCTGCAGGAATAGCAAATATCGGGTAATCAGCGGATACGGGAGCAAATAAAGTAATGTTACTACCTTACTAAACACGTCACGCTCCATGGGAGAAAAAGTCCTCTATCGATGCAACCGAAGATTGATTCGAAGTTCCATAGGTCACCAAACACAGGGTTGTCCACAAGGTCACTTGCACCGTATGCTGTCTAATCGAACAGTATACGTAGAGAAATAGCGCTCTAAGAGAACGATGTCTGAGAACAGAGGAAGCTATCCCCAAAAAGTACCCAATCTGTCCCATTATAAGACGGGTACCACCTTAATTTGTGTCATCATCGGTGTCTAACACTGATATCTCGCTTCCATAAATCAATTATTTATTTAAAAACCTTGTTAAAAATATATAAGTGGATGGAGAAGCCACCCAGTGCTACCCTATTACAATTACTTCGAGGTGAGTGCAAATTCAGGCAAGCCGAAAACATTACCACTGATATCGATTAGCACACCTATCTCGCTAATACGTATGGCGGCGGTCTGCCATGCGACGCAATATGAAGATGTGATCAAAGCAACCGCTACCAAGCGAGAATCCCACTTACTGCTCTCGAGTCAGTGCTCCACCGGCAGTCGTAAGGCGACAAAGGACAAGTGACAATAATAGGTCCCGTTGCAGCCGGATTCAAGCTGATTGCACTGTGATTTCCAAATTCGCCAGGGGCCTTTTTTTAGAACGGACATCACTATCAATTCTCCCCAGTTATTTGGAATGGGCTAGTTTACCGAATGACGACAGATCGGACATGTGCTGACTGAGGACCTCACCCCGCCTTTTAACAATGCGCCTGAGGGGCTATCCAGACAAGAAAAGCGATTGTGCTTAAAATATATGCTTCATAAATCCCCGAGGCCATAGGGAATTCCAGGACCACCGTCCAGGGTTTTAGTGTAGTTCGAGAATGCGACAGAGTAGCAACATATGGCCACGATAATTTTTGTTCGAAGTGCTCGGTTCAGTTTTTTTTTTGTGACTTTGATCACAGACGGCTTTCAAGTGTCGGTCGCACGGGTCAGTTGAAATACTCTTCAGGTGTGCCAGACACTCTTCACTTCTTTGGGGTTGTGTCCACCAGGCATCACGAAAGGCGAATCGCGGGCGCCACCTGGCCAGAATATTTCGTTTAATTTTAAAGTACTGCCCTTGAACAGTTTACACATGGCTGAAGCGGCCGTTCACAATTATCCGTACGTGGTCAGTCCAGTCAAAGTCAACCAACCAAACTAGTTTCAGATGAGTTACGTCCACATTCAGATCGCTGTTATTGGGAATAATTCACAGACATTGCCAGACGAACCGCGACTAGTAAAAGGTGTCCAGTCAAGCAAGGGTCCTTTCAGCCGGTGACTTAGAACAATACCGACCTTTGCCCAGTCTGTCGCAATGGCCTCTGAATAGCAAGAGGTGCACAGCAGGAGGATAGTGATTGGATGATTCGCCTAACGATAGTGCTGGGATCTTGAATTCCTATTTCCGATACGTAGCATACATCAGTTCCAGGCAAGTTCACTGTGAGGGAAAGCAGCCTGTTGTCTCTCCTGTTGCAGAGTCGGAATACTAAAATCAGCCAGGTAAATCATGTGTAGAAGTTCGGAGAGTGATTTTGAGATATCCGAAGCTGTCGGCCTCGACTGACGCGCAGATGTAGTGGCTAAGACCTATACAAAGCGAATGGATAAGCTCTCAAGGATAATGTTATCAACGGGGCAGAGTGATGGAACCAAAAGTGAGTGGAAAAAAGAGGCACCAGGGGTAACTCGTTTACACTTAGACGCCCTGTTTTACGTAGCAAACAAGGTAACATGCCTGCTGACATCATGAGATGCCCTACTTGGCGTAAGATTATTCCTAGCTGTAGATTATGTGCGGGTGTGGTTGTACGCGATACCAGAGCGTCCAAATATATGTAAGAGGACGATTAAAGCACTAAACTAATGCTTTTGGTCCGGAAGACTGACCACAAGTCAGAAGGTGGGTGCCGGCATACTACCACACTAATGCAAAATTTTAAGGAACAAGTTGCTGCACGTCTTCCAACCCTCAACTTAGAGGGCCGAGATTGTTTGCCAGATCACTGTCTGGTGAAAAAAATCGTCCAGTCGTAGCACTCTTTCGGTGACAAAAAGCCATGCCACCAGAAGGAAGCACGAGGACTGGGATACTGCCAGGTTACCCAAGCCTAAACAGGGTGACCAACTCTGGGTCAAAGTGAAACCCCATAGTAAAGCTCAGTGGATAGCGAAGGCGCATATGCAATGACATCACGGTAAATTCCGGTCTCTTCGTGACGAACCCTGATTTGTAGAATTTCCATATGGTTTCCAAATAGGAAGTAAGGCTGACGGGATATTGGGGGATCAACAACATCGACAGCACAACATCAGTGTCTTGATAATGATGCTTCGCTGCGGTATTTCTGGGGATAAGCTCCGAAAATGACGAAACCATGAGCTGTCAACCTCGAGATAAGTTTCATATCAAGGGAAACAAAAAACCCTATTCACCGAAGTGATCATTTTCGGGGGTATTACCGTAGCCCCGCAACTAACACAATAGGAGAAAATCAGAGCCACCTAAACTGCATCCTTACCTTGCAATCACTTTAAGTTATTCACCATGCCGTCACCTGGGACAGTAGAAGTATGAAAGTATACGTACGCTTCTGGTTGGTCAATCGGTGATGTGTTTGCCGAATGTGGTGCTGCACGGAGACCCTTGGCTCCGGTGTAGACCCGAGGGAAAAAGACCAGCGACCGAACCTAGAGGCCCGTCGCAAGCAATTACTTGACCAAAACATAACAATGGGCACCCGCACTAATGTTTGGTTTGGCACTGTAGTACTCGCGCCATCTGTCAGCTCCTCACTAGACATCCAGATGTTCCCCATAGCCGCCAAGGCGGTAGCAGATAACCTAGAGGTATTCCAATCAATATGTTTGGGACGATTGGGAATTCATCGAGCAAAAAGATACAGGTATTCCGTTAACCATACTGTCAGTGATACGGAAGTCCTTAGAACATGGGTCGGGAATCGGTCAAAATATGAAGCAGTCTTATCTTGGTTCCAGTTACTTGCGTTTGGCAAGTGGGTCGATGCGTACACTGGTGAGCCACAAGATTGATACTGCAAAAGATTGTGCGTCTGCAAGTCACTTAGGTTTAAATGATCAATGTTGTCCTCTGGAGCTTGAAAGCCTTCTGAACGGCTCATTAGTTTGGTTTCTCACGCCTGCATGGATAGTCGTTCTCTGGGGCCAGACTCTCCCATGCCCTGAAATTAATCATTTTTCTAACTTACTTGGAAGCTACCCCAACAGTGGGATTTATAAAGTCACCGATTTCGAACTCCACTTTTCAGCTGACAGGAAACGAATTGTTAAATGGTGCGAGTTTCGGCTATTCGCTTCAAGCAGTCTAATCAGCGGGGTTGACTTCTATCCACACCATATTAAATTTCAATGGTCTTTGCTCATCGGACTTCGGCGTTCGGTACTCGATTCTCGCATTTGATCCGGCAGATTTTGCGCAGACATTTCGAGCGGAATCATTAAAAGACTCGAACACATCACTTGTTTCCAGTCCAGGTTTGGCTTCGTACACTACCAGAGACGGCACGACTGTTTGATGCACTGCAGTTTTGGTAGCTACACGCAGTTGATGATTCCTTCAGATGTTTTGCTCAAAACGGTTCAATGCTAGCTTTTGCAATTTGTGCGCTCATCCCACAGACAAACACCAGGTTTGTGGATAGCGTGCAGCCAAGATGGCGGCAATTCGCACAGCACGCAACGATTTAATCAAATGCTTGGTGTTTTATGCTAGGGCTCATAAAAGACAAGCGTTTCAGAAATACTCATAGTTAATGCCAAGATAGATGCCACTGGAATAAACGTCATAGTCATTCGCGATAATTGCGCCACAGAATGCGAAAATAAATTGGTCATCCGCAAATAGTAAGCTACGGACATCGGACTCGCCTAACAGTACCTTGGCCGAGAAACGCTTCGAATGAACAGATAACCATCCAACCGATAGTGAATAGGCATGCCTCATTCAGAATGGCGAAAAACCTCTGGTAAACGGTTAGCGAATAGGGAATGAGCAGGGCTGTATCAATTTCGAACTCCGCCGAGGTAGAGCATTACTGATTAACTCAGACAGAAAAGAAACGACGATCATGGAAGAACTGCCCTTCTGCAGGTGAACTATAACTATAACGCGATGATAACATTAGTAGTAATAACAGTTCGTTGTGCTCTAGGTAGATAGCTCCCATGCAACCCGAAGGAAGCACAAGGGCTGAGATAGTGCCAGATTGCCGAAGCTTGAACAGGGACAATAGAAAAATTGGAACTGAATTCGAATTACGGACCTACCAATCAGTAATATCGCGGCCTAAACGCCGAGCTATCTCGAGCTTGCACACAAATGTAGAGATGGCAAAATCCCTCTAAAAAGTCAAGACGTGGTAACGAGAACAAAAAGACCTGTGTGTGTGTGTGTGTGTGTACGCAGCGAGTCTTTCTATCGAGACAAGGTAAAGCCAATGACCTTGGTTTCTAGTAGAACAATAATTCTCGGGGACAACCTACAGAAAACATGACAGCCTGAGGTCTCAGCAAACATCATGTGCCAGTCGTCCGAAACACGGAATCCTATTGGATGAACTAGTACACGTACCTCAAGTTAGAAATAAAATCGCGCATTTGGAAAGGAGAATGAACATGACTGGAGTCCTGGATTTTTAAACTGGAGTTCGTGATGGTCATGTGTCACATGAAACCCGAGCAGCAAAACCGTTTGGTTGAACGTAGGTACCTTACCTGGCAAGAGACTGACCACGGTCGAAGTAGGCATAGAGGAGACCCCATGCTAAGTGAATGGTTTCGTGATTGAAACCAAATAGGTCTTGAACTTCGAACAGCCAGTCCGCCAGAGTTGTCAGCATATCCGGGGTAAGATTAGGCTGCTTTCCAGCGGCTAGAAAATCACTCACGTGGAAACAAGTCTACGCGAAAAGTGAATGGAAAGTATGAAAGGCTAAAGGTGCGTATGAATAGCTTTCAAAAGCTAAAATCGATTACAATCACCTTATGAGAGAGCGGAAACTATTTTAGTCCGGATATTACTTTACAGATCGCCAACTAACCATAGTGACCTCTTCAGATTTATCCCCAATGGAAATGACTGAATATCTGGGTGATTATGAGCACAAAAATTAGCTATTTTCAGCCTCTGTACGGACAATGCAGCACAACAAATTAAAAGAGCGTTTACAGCAGACGGACGATCTCTCGCTGAACACTTAGAAGGTGGTCATAGAAGTCTGAGCGTAAACTGTTGATATGTACAAACATACGATAATTCAAAGTTAATGTCATGGTGATCCCCTTAGAGAAATAGCTTCGCAAGTAAAAACAACTTCTTTCGACCACATTTTTTCATAAGACCCGGTGATCGAGGGACAATTCGACTTAGGACTGGTTACACAAACCAAATTACATTCGTCAATTCGTTTAGTCTACATAGACAACTTGAAGGATTACAAGACTTTACAGGAAAGTTGCCCCTGAATGATGTGCTATCCGTATCCGACCCGGTTCGTGGGGTTCTGTCCGACCACCTCCAACAGACAATGGGTTGAGCTCGGGCCTGTGCTGCGCTGTTGCTAACACATTTGTTTTGTCGAGCTGGTTTGGTGAAACCTGACAGAATTGTACTGACTTCATTTTACATGAATGCCGGAATTGATTTAAAAAGCCTGTTCTATTTTGGTGATTTTTAACCAAGCGCAAATGCTGTGGCAAGCAAGTGGCAAATGGTCGCATTTTGAATCGTTTTTTATTTGCTTGATTGTTCAGAGATTATCATTGAATTAAAAAAAGCAGTCCTGGATTCACTGACGGAAGACCGGACATCCTTTTGGGGAAGTTCCTCGTAGTTACCTCACAGATGCCCTTTATAAGAAATCATTTCTGCGGAGAAGCAGCCTTTATCAAGCGGCTTGATGGTTTCCGGCCCCCACCTGGCTTATCCGTTACACTTGGGATAACAAGTATTTGTTCAGAAAAAACGCCAAACTGGACGGTGTTGACTGAGAACTCAACACACAAGCAATATGGTGTTGTTCACAGAGTATCGGGTAAACGAAGGCAGACAAGTGAACAAATGCAATTTACCACGGTGACAAATTGGAGTCCGGACAGAAATGCACCGAATAATCGAATAAATATCCTACCTTGGCTTCCCTTATTTGTTCATAGGCCATTATACCAACAATGTAATCGGTCGCCTCCATCATGCGATCCACAGGTGACCGATCCAGCGCGGAGATAGCAAAGTCAGTCCGTCGGCATTCTGCGAGTAGTTCCTCTAATTGGACCCGATCTGCAAAAGCCGCCCGAACAATATCACAAGCGAGCTGGATAGAGTGGCATTGAAACAGAGGCTGTGATTAGGAGGCGTTTTATCAGGAAAACGGAAGTAAGGGCCAACACATTCGACAGTTTTCCCCAAAAACAGAAGAGATGTCCAACTGATGCCTAACTTTGCGAATAATGCTTAATTCAGTTCAATAAAAAAACTTACGTCCCGAAAATTTTTCCGCAGCTGTTTATTTCATTTCGTGTGCTGACGAAGAATACAGCAAAAACAGTAAGATACCACATGGTCTCGTCACAGTCAACTCACCGAGACCTGAGGATTTCTTCAGATAGTGTTCGCAGGGGACCAACAATGCAATCGTTGTAACGGCTTGTGCGGCACCTCAGACTTTGACAATAGGGTTGTGGTGAGCAAGTTGGCTCTGAACTACCGAAAGTAACATGGTGCGATAGGGCGATACATTATACGTCAGATGACTTAAAAGGCTGATTTATTTTTTGCCAGAGGTCGAACATAAAGTGGCGTACGAAACATCAAAATCAAAACGAAACATATAGCCGGGTGTAACAGGGTCGAAAACATTCAACAGAGCAGAAAAACTTGTTAAAAGGTAGTGCACCAAAAGACAGCGAAGTACACAGTCGAGCACCACGTCAGAGACATCAAAGTGTCAACGTTTTGACGCCCTTTTCTACCCACATACCGACAGAATGAGAGCTTTTACTGCTCCGAAATTGTGCCGTGTTGTCGTCGGGAGTGTTGGCTAAAAGGGTGGACGGACGCTGCTAAGTTCGAGGTTGAATATCTGGGTTCGTATTCGGCGCTTGAACCAATAGTATATCGGCATTGACGAGAACCCTGCCACCTACTCCGTGTTTGGGGAGCTGTAAATCAAAACATTCAAGAAACCGGTTCACCCTCATTGGGATAGCCGAAGTAAAGTAACTTCATGGGTTCGGGGTGAGTTCGGTGCATCGAACTCACAAAGGTAGTCTGTTGCAGTCATTTTGACATAGAAGATGTGAAAAAGCAATGTGTAACGGGATGCTGCGACCAGCATCCAGTGCAATGAACAAAAAAGGAAAATCATCATAGAAGTCCAGTATGGGTATCACTACTGAAATTCTAGTCATTCGTTGACTAAACCCGTGTAAGAAAACTGGATAACACAAAGCTTAGAAGCTGCTGTTCGCCGTCGTTCATGGGCAACAGTCTCCGATTCATTCTTCCTCAGAAGAAATTCTCTGCTTGGTGAAGTGTAGTCAATAATCATTATGATTGATCGCAGTTAAAGGTAGGCTAAGATGATCAAGATGGCGATAATCTCTGACTGACACGAGACTGGCTGTACCTTGATGAATCTCAGATGAATACCCTACAGTTTAATCAATTCAGATAAAAGAATTAATAAGGACCAGTGGATTCTATTAACTGAATGACTAGTGGTTACCAGAAGATCTGGATAGCACGTACATCTTGGACTTGAAAGCTCTGTGCAAATAAGTGTATTAACTTAGTTCACAATACTGACTGGGTGAGGAGCGAGTTCTGGAAGGATAAAAGTGATAAGCCGAAATTCGTGCAAACTGTAATGAGTATGAATGGAGTATGATTGTCATCAATCCCAACGACTTCTAACATCACACTTACTTTTGACTTGAATGGACGCCTATCGATTTCTGATTCATCGATCAAAGTCTTCTTTTGCTCTGATTTGAAGATAATAGATTGAGACTCAGATTGGTCACATCGTGGGCGTTTGGACACGGGTCCCTGCGACACATAAACAGAGCTGGGGTGATGGAGAACGGAACAAATGGAAATGGAAGGCATATTTGGAGGCAGATATACGTTTTCGGCGTCACTGCCACAATAGTCACTTTCGCCTTCCCGAAACGACAGCAGACTCGAAGGAACACGACTTCGGACGCTTGATGCGGTAAGAGGAACTGCATGACTTTCAGTACCGATTCGATTGCCGACGACTCCCTCACTTCTCACCAGAGATGTGTCAATGGAAAGCCCCAGTGCAGAATCCACTGATAACCGAGAAGTTGAAGCTTTGAGTAGAAGAGAAATCAGCAAGATACTGAAGCCATGAATATTGATATCTTGCAAACAAAACGCTAATGGACACTAACTACTATCCAGTGGCTTCCTTAGATACTCTAGGAGGTAGGCCACCAATGAAGAAGAGAATATCGAATTAAACCAATGGGAGGTGTCTGGTGACCATATTTGTGTGATGAATTCCAACATACTAAGGCACGAATTGTCGCTTTGATGCCCCTTTTTCTTAGGCACCCCACACACCTGGAAACCAGCTGCTGGCACTCGAAGTTGGGGCGAAGTCTACAAAAAATCTAATGGGAATCGGCATACCGGCTCAAATGTTTCGATAATGAGGAGACATAAGATTTTCAGAACAACCAAAGGCGCATAGGCATCACAGCATTGCAACATATCTACGGGTGGCTACCCAGGTCCACAGATAAGACAAGCTTAAAATACGATGGAGGCTCTAGTAAAGGGCCTCCATTATACCGCATACATCGCTCGGGCGTCCAACGATGACTGCCCCGCGTCATCAGTGGACACAGCAAATTCCTCATGCCCCAGATGTCGCTACACTGTTTGTTCGATCTCCCCGAGATTCACGTGGAAACATAATCATTCATGCGTACTGTAGTCCTTATAAGTAGCATAAGGCCATGCTGAAAATGAGCAGCCTTCTACATTCAATCTATCGCTGAATTTGTTCATGCGCTATTAATTCACACTCAAGTTGACGTGGCATTTTGATATTTAGCGTTTTAATGCAATGGACGTGTCGGGTATACAGATGGTTTATCCCATGTAAACCACCCGCAGGTCATAAAAACAGCAACACAGTTCGATTGAGTAAATCAAAACAAGTTGCAACGTCTAGTTCCGTTAAACAGCAGAGTCAGCGAAAGTGCACACAGACAAAGACTCGGGGGAAGTGATCCGCTGATTGTTTGCTCCTCGAAATTATATAGGGTTTAAACAGGTGGCTACAGGATACTGCTGAGGGGGTACGCAGCGGTTACACAGGGCCGCGGTATTGTTACCAGCTGTGGTCGGTGTACAAGTGAATTCGAACTGTCATCGGCGCGTCGTTCAGACAGCCGTCATCACGTAATTCAAGACATCATTGACATACATCTTTGCTCTCTGCACTGGACCTGTGAATCACAGTGCCTTAGCCTCAGCCTCAAAATATGCCAGTCCGTCAATAGGTAGATCAGTGCATAGAACCATGCCCCCAAAATCAGTGTCTTTTTGTCACTTGTTCGGCTACGGTGGGCTTGGACAATATTTGGTACTGTGTTTAGCAGAGCAGTTAACGGAACCGAGATGTGTTCGCTAAAACGGATTAGGACACACCATAAACGTGTCGTGCTCGAAATACAGAGTTGAGGGAAATGTGTGGAGGCTATCCTGAAGTGTGGATAAAGTCTGACATCAGATTACTGTGTTTCTAATATGGTACTGTTCGGGGGCCAGCCGTCCCTAATAACCGAACATCACATCATTTGGACGCATGTGTCACGTGCAGGATACGGGCCAGTCGTAGGCATGCCCTGATTGGTCAGAATGCCAGCCAGTCCGAGTCAAGCGCCTTGACTCGACGGTTCTCGCCCCCTCACGGACATTCTGGCACGACCTTGTGGAACACTCTGTGACTACCCTATATATATATATACAGTTGTACTGATTTTCTTTTGTCTCCATAAAGGGCTGTGTATAGCTACCGTGCCTTTTGATATACCATAGTGGGCGGAGCAGGAAGCCAAGGGACCGACACAGAGTTGCACTACCGTACATCAAGACATAACAGGTACCCAGTAGTTTTCAGACTTTGCAAGAGACCCACAACTCAGAATTCCGGATCATTGAATTCTCCACAGGATCAACATGATATTCAGTGACTTGTATGTATCCGCCAAACCGAATTCACGCATTATATGTTTTGATGGTCATCTACTAACTCAGACATCCGCTGAATATTTAGCCTTGCATGGGATGGTGATCACCCTGCTGAGAAAAGTAACGGAGAAGGAATGTCGAGGAAGGTACTGTTCGAGGTGGCCTTTACTTTGGGGGTACCGTTGTAGCACATTCCGTTTTTACTATATCGTTTTATTGTTCAAACGAAGCACTAGCATCACGCAAATGATCTAACATTTGAAAACCAGTGGTCTAAACCGTTAAGACGTATCAGTTACAGGACCTCAAAGTCCAGAGAAGCCGCGTTGGGCTGTTGATTATAATGGATCAACACGCATCATCATCATCATCATCATCATTGTCAGCTGTAATAACCCCGTACTCGTCGTACAGTGGTTGTAGCTGCCGCAGTTTCGTTCACCGATGATTTGGGGAGGGGGGTAGGTAAGTGCGCATTACAGCGGGAGATGATAAATCCAGCAGTCAGTGGGCTGTCAAGTGGGGGGATTGGAAAAGGAGCTATGCACTGAAGGCAATAGCTTGGATGCACGAGCGCCGTTGAGGGCGCGACTGGGCGATGTCTGACAATTGTCTAGCCATTGATGTGGCGCAAGTGACTGGCGGATAACCCTAAACCAGTGATGAACTTGAAAGATATCTGGAAACAAGCAAATAGAAGTGTTGAATGAGCGAACAGCTCAGTTAAGTAAATTGTGAACAAACCTCAATACAGCAAACGACTTGAGGGTCTCCATCAACCTCATAAGTAGGATCGTGTCAGGGGGGACATCCTGACATGTTGAATAGTTTTTTCTAGTGGGGGAGGCTTTCACGCATTACACCGAGTTGAGGAAAACATAAACGAGAGATCCTTTTGGAATATACGCTAGCACCGTTTCGTTTGAAAATTAGTGTACAAGTCCACAACGATTCTTCTCACAAGAAAAATTTAGTCAGGAGTGATACCATTGCTGCCCCGAACAAGAAACCTTGGTGCTTACGGGTGGCGGCTTAACATCTCGTCATTAGCAGTAGTCTTCAACTGAATGTGTTGTATCATGCGAACACTAACTTGATTCGCAATGATAGACAGATTTTATTAAGACCTTAGTATGTTGGACCGTGGCTGTATGTTCAGAATGGAGCCAGAGCTCGATTTCGGTAATCCAGCATGACACAAAGGTAGTGGAGAAGTCGAAACTAGCATTCACGAGAAAGAAGGGGATACTGCACCGTCCTAAACACCCCATTAGCCCGTTCTGAGACAGCGCACGCTAGCGCAGCTTCGGCCGTGAGTAGCTGAGTGAGCGCCGTGAACAGAAGTCAACAAAAAAAGTGATTCAAGAAGGCCAGTACGCAGTGCGTGTAACTGATCAACAAATATAAACTACCAACATACACAAGACGGAGTCGAGACAGTGGTCATGCCACATTTGAAAACGAGAGCCTTAACTGAATAACAGATGAATCTCCCGTTCATTATATTCTTTAACGGAATGTGTCATAAAAAGCTTGCCTCACGTGTCCGTTGGGACGATGTTGGAGATATTCATCATCAGCATCTTCTTGAAGGGAGCAACATACAATGGTCCTGGAAACTTCCACAATCCACTACCGAATTCACCATTGTTAAGGCTCATCAAGAAGGCGCAGTCCCCGAGGCTTCGTTAAGCCCGTGCTACTTGGACCCAAATTGTACAGTAAGGGATGTATTGTTGTATTGGTGCGACACATGGCCTCTGCGGACAGATGACGTGGGGCGTCTCCAGGCCTTTGACCACCGACGCCTCAGAAGCGTGGCTGGTTTTCGATGGCGTTTCTCTCTAGACTGTCTGATTGGACGTGTAAGCACCTCAGGACGCTTGACATAGGCAAGCACGAGGTCTCTTCCCTCACCCACTCTTTTTCTCTTCTTTTCACTAAGGCTTTAAACATAATTAGACGAACACCATAGTTGTCAAGGCTGATTCTTCTGTCTATGGTGATAGATGATTCTCCTGTGAGAACCTAAATTGTGTGCAAATGAGTGTACTGCCTAGCACCCACTAAACAAGATCTGTGAAAACCTAAACCTGAAGGTCAAAGCCCCAAACCATCAGTAGCAACTCCTAGTCACCCACGCTAATAAGCAAGAATCCTTACTAAAGATTTGGTACTTATCTAACCTGACAGTCAAGAGATATATGACTGGCTATCTGACTTGAAACCCTCCCAACTCGATAGCGCATTTGCATGGCCTTTTATGTAGAAAAAACTAGTGATTAGTCCACCGATCGTTTCCTACATCTTTCTGAACCGAAGATCGGTTCTAAACGTTCCCCAAAGAATTCTGTTTATTCATAGCAGAATGGTTCATGGGCACGGGTGAAAAACCGCATCTAAACCGGGTCTAAGTTAGCGGCTGAAAACCGTCATGTCTCGAAAAGTGATCCGTATGCTAGCTGAAAACCCACTTGGGGGTAGTTGTGTGCGCTACTCGTCCACACAACAGAACAGAGCAACTGACAGACTGCTGCAAACATTCACAACTAGTACAACAGGCATCAAAGTCTAGCTATAAGTTGAAAATTTTACTAATGGAAAAACGTGGTGAGTCTTACAGATTTCTAACCCGTTCCTGACCATTCTACTGAGTAGTTTTGCCAACCCGGCAGCGACTAAGGCGACAAAGGGCAATCGACGCCAAGAGCCAAGCTGACTCCGATTTCTGCACTCATTACGAACTTCTTTTTTTAAAAAAACGGACAAAGTTACACAAGCATCAGCTCCATTCGTAAACGGCGCGATGGGACTTGGTCAGGAAGATTGAGCGAAAGGGGCACTACCTAATTTTCGAAGACATCCGAGCTTCCAACTTCACTCTCCCTAACTCTGTTGCGGGTCTAGAAACCCGTTGAGCAATTAAAGGTAGCCAGTTTAATGCCGCTGAAAGAGTTCGGTTCAACGATTCAGGCGCTCTACCCTTCTAGAGATGACCGGATTATTTTCAATATGGCTCAGTGCTTAGAGCACGGACTCACTGACCGGAAGGTCTGCGGTTCCAACCCGACCTCCCCTGTCTAGGCTTGGACAATCCGACAGTACCCTA